TTTGTGAAAAATTGTCATTTTTTGACATTTTCGAAATCGACAATTTTTGGCAATTTGGCCGAAACCCGTCCCATTTTTCGTATTTTATTCCAATTTTCATCAAAGGTGGCCTATTATAAGCCAGACAAATGCCTATCGTTGGCATCCGTGACGTCACAGTAAGCCTCGCCGCCGAAACCGAAAGTGTTCTCCGATCAAAATCTGTTTCTCGATTCATTAAAATGCCGTCGGCGATTCAAGGTCAAGTTCAACCCTTCCTTCCAACCACCTGTATTTACCACCCCCTCTCACCGCCGCAAACAATTTCACTTTTCTACGCCGCGTGATTTATCTCAACGATCAAAACTGATTTCCTGTGTGTCTACCCTTAATAGAGAGGAACACATGACCCCGGTCTCGGCAACCCTCAACTAGATGAGAGTTCACACGGTCTAGCAGGCCAAGAATTGGGCTCGACCAGATGAATCTTGCATTCTTTACCATCGACTAAAACCACTAACCCGCCCTCAAACCCATCACATTTTTCACATTTTTCAATAAAATCAAGTTGGCAGGAATAATAGCAAGGGTGATGGTCGGATTAAATTAATAATTGAGGTAATTAGACGAGACGATTATTCATTTGGGCCACTTTATTGGTCCATGTGGTCGCTACATTCGTAAGGGGACGTAGGGGTAGCGGGAGAGAGGGGATGAGGAGAAAAAACAACGTGTAAACACTCTCGAGATTTTTTCTGAGGGGGTGGAATAATATATGGAACATGTGTTGAGTAAAAGTAAAAGTGGGCTTTGGGCGTGATTTTTTTATGTGCATCAGGTGGCTTGATTTGTCTCAATCGTTTTCCGTGTAAGGGGTTGTTTAGAGGGGTCGTATACAGGCTGTCGTGATTTTTTCAATTTAAAAACTGACCGGATTTGTTAGTTTCTATTGACAAACTATTGTCAAATACCAAATTTTGTTGTCAAAAATTACACTTTTGACAATAATTGCTTTTAATTTTGACGCTTGTAGTAGCCGCCGTACAAGGACCGAAACAAATCAAGCCACCTGATACATATAAAAAATCACACCAAAGCCTTAATTTTAAATTGAACATGTGTCTCATATTTTACCCATAAAAACGACACCGTGTGTTCTACTAGAATTGTGTGTCAATATTTGACACCAGTTTTTTTAAAATTGACAATATATCAAAATTGTGTACCAACTGGTCTATAAATTTGGTCTAGAACACCTTTGTGAAGTCAAAAATTCAAACAAATAATCTGGGATTGTCAAATATTTAGAATTTGACACCAATATTTTTGACAAACTAAAAGTTTTGCAGTCACAAAAGCAACAATTTTATTTATGATTTTTTTTAAAACTAGTTTTTAAAAACTATAGTCAGATTTTTGTCAAATACATATTTGCATAGTATACTTACATATTTATATTACATTATATTCGACAAATACATACCTACTTTATTTTAAATTTTTTGTAGACAGAATTAAAAAAATTGTTATTATATAAATTGTCAAATATCAATTTGACAACAACCATCATCCCTATCATATTTTGCTAAATAAAATAATTAATAAAATAAATAAATTTAGTATACGAGTATTTATTTTATTGTCACACCGACCAATTTTTTTTGTACATTTTATTGAAATTGTGTGTCCTACTAAAATTGTGTGTCAATATATGACAGCAGTTTACTTTAAAATTGACAATATCAACACTGTATACTAAAATAGTCTTTAAATTTGATCTAGAACACCTTTGTAAAGTCAAAAATTCAAACAAATAATCTCTGGATTGTCAAATATTTACTATTTGACACCACTGTTTTTGACAAATTAAAAGTTTTGCAGTGCAGTCTACAAAAGCAACAGTCTATTTTATTTATGTTTTCTAAAACAGATTTTAAAAACTATTGTTAGATTTTTGTTAAATACAAATTTGACATAGTGTAGTTACTATATTTATATATTAGACAAATACATAGTTTATGTTAATTTTTTTAGACAGAAATTCAAAAAATAGCTATTATATAAATTGTCAAATATTAATTTGACAACAACCACCCCAATCATATTTTGATAAATAAAATAATTAATAAAATAAATAAATTGTTACAAAAAAGCTAATATAGTATACGAATATTTATTTTATAGACAAATTATTAATTATAATTAGTAATTACAAAAGTCAAATAAAATTTATTGTTTCATTGTCAATAATTACTCGAACAATTTTAGACAATGATAGTTTGCTATTTTAAATATGTAAATCTGTAACTGTAAACATATTTTTTATCTAAATTCTTGTCTATTTTTTGTTCCAAATTTGATACTTTATCCAGTGCTAACAACATTTTTCTCGGTTCCAAGTAGCCGTTCATTTGACGTATTTATTGTCCATCTAAAATCTCGTTGACAATCTTAACTAATTACACAGGTCAAAGTTCTGCCACGAAAAATCCAGTAGGCGTTGAAAATGATTCCATGAATATTTACCGAAATCTCGACAGACATAAAATTCCTCCTTGACGCACATCTCTGTTTTGCATCACTCGTCATCGCCTCGCACTATTTATCTCCTCCAGCTAATTCAAGTAGGCGTTGCAATTCCTCGGCTATTGTGATTTTTCCAATGTCTCAATTAAATATTATATATACAGGGTGCGATTTGCATGAAAGCGTGCCCCGATCGACCCTTCATCGATCCCCACAGCCTACTTAAAAAAAACGCAACAATCGATCTCTTTATTACAGGTGTCGAACAATCGACACAATGGGGTTAAAAAGGCCATAAATATGGCCCCTTCGCAAAATAAACATTATTAACTCGGGGCCGAATCCAGTAGCTTGTGGAAAAAATTGGCCACAAAAAATCGATCTAGAGTGCGTCTGGTACAAAAAACGGCACACGCCTGCCTCGATCCTATCGTGGAATTATGTAAATCGGTTTGTGTTGTTTTTATTATTATTATTATTTATTAGAGAAACATTGTTTCAGGCGGCTATGATAATTCGATGAATAATTTGTCAAGATTTATGGATTCTGAGTGTCGACATCTTTTTTTTGCCAGGCCGCCTGAGATAAAAATACGTTTTCGCTTTCACGGTCAGGGACGGCTGTGGAAGGGACGCACTCGCTTGTTTTATTGCAACGCTACCTACCCCACGTGACGTCACACGAAACGACGACATTCCTGAAATCTCCTCGAATTTTTCGAATTAGACTCACGTTTTATAATTACGATCTAATTTATGGAAATTAGTAAGTATATGTAATTATGTATTTACTGAGGTAATTGGACGTAATTATGCAAATTTTATGTATCAGATAAGTGGACATTTTTATTCTTTTATTACGCTTTTTTACAACGACAAACCTGAATCTTACACATTTAATTACGAATTAATCTTGGCGATTTTATTGTACTTTTCTAGGTTATGTCATTTCGCATTAATTAACAAAAGCGTTACAAAATCTCTCTGAAGCCAAGAAAAGGGCTTGACGTTTTTATGGGGAGAAATATAAGACACATGTTGGTTATAAAAGTAAAAGTAGGCTTGGATGTGATTTTTTATACCCACAGGTGGCTTGATTTGTCTCGACCCTTCACAGGATCCACTAATAAGATCAAGATTAGAAACCATTATTGTCAAAATCATACTATTTAAATGAAACTTTCAAATTTCAAAAAAAAAAAACAACTGGAGCAAAATTATTATTTTTACTGAACACAACGTTAAGAAAAACGCTTTTATATATTTGTGTTATCTAAACTATTGTCAAATCTGTATTTGACAATTATTTGACAATCACTATTATAGCACAGTATTGATTTAAAAATGTTTTGTTAGATGTGAAATAAATTTCAAAGGTTTTTAATTTGTATTGTCAAAAACAGTAGTATACCTAAATATGTATCTCACAATGTTTTGAATTTTTGACTATAAAGTTATCTTAAACATACAGTATTATGAATTGACACATTTGTTATTTCATTTCATTTCATTTTAAATAGTGTCAAATATTGAGAGTTTGACACATTTTCAATTTTTGCATATTTTTATTTCATTCACTACAAAGTTGTCAAAAACAAAAGTGACAATTATGTATTTGCCTATAAAAAATGTCTATCTTTAACATTCGACTGTAGTCAAGACATAAGTTAATTTTTACACTTTTTTGACTGGAAAAATTCTAGTAAAATGCTTCGGGAACGTAATTGGCAAACTTATATTTGACAACAGCTTTGCTAAATTGTCTCAAAGTCTTGGACACGTTAACTCTCAGTTTCTTCTTAAAAAACATCTAATTATCCGAAAAAATAATATTCGAAATCCTACACTCCTCACACCTCATTAAATCTCAAGCTAACGACCATTTTTCCTCATCAACAAAGAAAACTAGTAACGAACTGTCAGCTCCTCATAAATAAATTCCACCAAAACAAGTTTGAAACGCTACTAATAACGGAAGTCGTCTCACTTAACCTGTCTCTCTCTCTTGTAATTATTGTCAAATATCGGCGCCACTAGATTTGGATGTATGTACCAAAATCAAGAAAAAAAAAATGAAAATAAATAAAATTGGTGAGGAAAAAAAATAGTTGACTGACCCGAAAGTCAGTTTTGTTTATTTTTGCCAATAAAATTTGTTATTCTAATGACTCGCAACTATCGCAAATAAAATCAATTTTTCTTCTGCTTGTTAAAACAGGTGCCTCCTGTAATAATTTTTTCTAAAATCGTGGCCTACTTTGGTTGCATTCGTTCGCGGTCAACTTTTTTAAAATCGACTATTTTTTACCTGCGGGGTCACCACTCACAAAAGGGTCCGTCGTCTACCTGATCTTACCTAATAATCCGGTCTCTCTATCTTTCAAAATTCAATGGGAAAGACAGAGACGGATTCAGCGATTGAAGATGATGAAGAAGAATCAAAGGAAGCGGAGATTCGGTTTTATAAGGGGGGGATCAGGGGGTCTCTGACTCACCTGCGGGCACATTTTACATTGGTACTTCCGTGGTTGCGGGCCGCCGTTTTGCATTCCGCCCATTTTCGTCGCGTTGATGGGCTGGGGCACCACGAGCAGGGCCGGACTTGAACCGGCCACCCCCGGACTCGAGCTGGACGACGTCGAACGACCGGAGGTGTAGAGGCCCGGCGTGCCGCCCATGTGGTGGTCGTCCAGGTCTGGAATAAAAAAAATTAAAAATATGTAATAAAAAATTAAAACTCAAAAAAATGAGGCGTCAGATGGTAATTTTGACACGGCAAAGCCGAGTGCTGCAACTATAGCTTTTTTTGGAAAAAGGTCGAGGCAGAGCCGAGGCTTGCAACCATGGAAATACATAAATGAAAAAACGAAATTAATCTTTAATTTTTAATCTACAGATAAAATATCAATAAAAAAACTTCACAACTCGAGGCATTTCCGAGTTTTTATTGTAACTGCAGATTTATTCTTGATAAAAATATAAGATTATTCAATTTTTGTTTAAAACTTTAAAAATGTACTTTTGTATTGTAACTAATTTGTTGTATGAAAAACCAAATTGTCAAGGCGAGGCAAAGCCGAGGTCTGTATTTATGTACAAAGACAAAGACAAAAACATTTATGTAGTTGCTAAATTCTTTTAGTTTACTGTACACTGAAAACTTTTGTCTTAAAATTGAATATTCTATCACCTGTTTAACTTTGTAACAATAAAAACGGAACATCCTGTATAATTTAATTATTTTTTTATACTTTTATTTATTATTAGCTACTCAAAGAGAAGACGAGTGCTGTAAAAAGAAAGATATACAGGTGCGCCAAAACTCACGCCCCAGAAAAAATTTTCAAGTAAAATAAGGTATCAGGAACATGAAAAAAATATTTAAAAAATTTTCTGTCAAAAAATTTTGATATTTATTTTTTGACATTAGACATTTTTTATGTCTCTATAATTATTTAGTAAAGGTACAAACATTTTGCCAATAGAAGCCACAAATAACATTGAACAGAGTTGAAATTTAGGATACGGCTTCCTTGTTTCCTCTTCGAATAGCCTGTAGCAAAAAAACTGAAAATTATTTTTCCAACAGAAATAAATAGAGTCAAAGTACAAAGTTTAAACCCTCATAACCTCAAAATTTTTATAGATAAATTTTTTTAACATTTTTTCCATGTTCCTGTTATCTTACCTTATACGGCATTTTTCTCTGGGGCGCGAGTTCTGGCGCACCCTGTATACCTAGAGTACAAAAGTATGACATTTTTTCTAAAACAACAAAAGTAAAGTACTGTTTCCAAAACCAGATTTTCTCGAATTGCATTTAATAACTTCTCTTAATAGAAAAATGTGAGGTCGAGGCGTAGCCGAGGCTTCTAGTTGTAAAAAAATAAAAAAGAACAAAAAACTTTACATTGTACAACCATAAAATTACAAGTATGTAATCAAAATTGGTTTTCCAATACGAGGCGTAGCCGAGTATTTAATGATAAAACCAAAAATTCAGCTTAAATAAAAATATAAGTAAAATAACTCTTTTGTTTAAAAAGTTTTGTATATTTCTTGTACGAGTGCGACGAGGCAAAGCCGAGGACTCCAACTAAAGATCATAGAAAAAATAAATATTTTTTTTTGAAAATATTACATAATGACTTACTAAAAATTTGAATACTATTTAAGATCATCTAAAGCGCGATATGTTTATACTTACTTTTCTTTGTTGTTGGTGGTTGGAAATAGCAGTTCGAGGCGTAGCCGAGAGCTGCAATTACATACGAAAAATAAAATAGACACTTATCGCTCGAGGCATATACAAATTTTTTCTACAGCCAAATAGTATTTTTTGGCCAAGTTTGCAGGAAATGAGAATTTCTCACATCTCAGCATCCTACTCACACTATCGCTGTTTTTTGCCCCCCCGGTATGTAAATCATGACCGCTCCAATTGCACATTAAAAGCAGTGACAAATATTCTGTGATAAATGTCGTTTCCCGCTCGCCTCCCACGGTGTACCCGACTTATTTTAATTGATCCCACAGCAGCTCGATCTAATATTAAAAAATATTCACAACCGGAATACAGTTTTGATCGGTTAAAAGCCGTCCAAAGCCGCCTCTCTCTAATCGCACAAACTCGTCAAGCAGGAAATCTTGACTTGCAATTTTTCGGCGCACATCCACACGCCAAAACATGTGTGTGTGTGTGTGTGTGTGTGTGTGCACCGCGTCCCCCCTTCACCGACGCCCCAGGCGCTAACCAAGGCCAGCTACGATTCGATAGTTTTTGATCTATGCATCTTAGATTTTTTCCGAATTACCGTTAATTCGTTTGCAAAACTCGTTCCAACAGATAATTTAAGAGTTTGCTTGCTACTTAAAAATTTCGATTTTGGAACGAAATCGACCGTTAGTTTCTTCAGTGGAGACAAAAATCCGTTTCTTTGTTCGAAAGAGCCCCAGATTCATCATCCGATTTCACTGTGCAATTTATTCTTATCTAATTTATTTGGAGCGTTCTAAATTCTTTGTCAAAATTAATTCTAATTGAAGGAATTCGGAAAATTGGATTATGGGAGGGTCATGTGACCATCACCTGGCCAATAGGACAACCTACAACCCTATCTTTTCACTGATCAGAGTATAATCAAAAATTTTACGTTTTACTTTATTGGCAATTTTATTTAGTTTTTCTAAATTTTAGAACCGACCATAAAATACCAATTTTTACGACTTTTTAGATTTCTGATTAGAATTGTCTTATTTTTACGACCAGTTGAGCTAGTCCGTAAATCAAATTACTAAATTATAATTTTTGCCATTGATAAGTTTTATGGTTTTTGCAGTTTTGCAAAACGAGTTTTCGGCGCAATTAATTACATAATATTTCAACTTTTTTCCTATTTAATGCATTTTTTTACAAATTTATAACTGAAAAGTCCAAAAACATCTATTTTTGTTGCACCCTTTTGCAAAAATATAGTAAATGTTTTAAGGGAGTTTTTAATCTAAAAATAAAAATATTCATAAACAACCGTAATAAAAAAACTTAAGGAAAAATAAAGAATCTAGATATAAACTAGTGTACAATAAAGAGTAAAAAAAAACAAAAAAGAGATCAAGAACTTAAAAGAGCTGTTACAAAAAATAAAAGTCAAAGAGTAAATTTAATATAAAAAAATAGACGGATAAAGAAAACAAAAAAATTATTAACTGATTCAAAAAACAGTTAAAATTAATCGAGTTCTTTTGTCAGTTTAAACGAGGCAAAGCCGAGTGCTGCAGCTACAGCTTTTTTAGAAAAAACTATTCCTAATTTATGAGTCAAAAAAGTCAATTTCTACAAAATAAACAATATGCCAAGTGTCTCTAAAAAACGCATAAAGAAGTTTTACAACTCGAGGCGTTACCGAGTTTTATATTGCAACTGCAGATTTATTCTTCATAAAAATATCAGATAATTCAATTTATGTCTAAAATTAGAAAAAAAATACTTTATTGTAACTAATTTGCTGTAGAAAAGAACAAATTGTCAGGCCGAGGCAAAGCCGAGGTCTGCATTTATGTGCAAAGACAAAGACAAGAACATTTATTTAGTTGTAAAATTCTTTTAGTGTATCTACTGTACATTTACATGATTTAATTATTTTTTATACTTTTGATTATTATTAGCAACTTAAAACGACGACGAGTGCTATAAAAACAAAGATATACAGGTGTCCCAGAGCTCCGTATTTCTTCGATTACTCGGACAGTAAAGAAGATAATAAAATGCGGTTTCTTTTGAACGATGGACATTTATTTTTTCTATGAATCAAAAATATTTTCGTCATTATAGGTGATTCCTACAAAGAGTAGCAAAACAAAGTTATGTTTTCTCTTATGGAACACCCGGTATATTATGGGCTTATTTGAAAAAGTTTTTAATTCTAAGAAAATCCATATTAGGTTTTATGAACCGTTTATCATTTATGGGCAATTTTATGAAAAAAAGTGCCATTTTTAAATCGCAGCGGCTTTACTAGAAAGAAAAAGTGAATTAAAACAATTGCAATAATTTTTACTCAATGTGGTGCTAAATTATTACGGTTAAAATTCGATCAATCTTTTGCAACTATTGCAGAGTGTTGAGATTTGCAAAATATCAAGTAACTTGATTTTTTGAAATGAAACACCCTGTATGTTATTACTTTATCATGTAAAGCTTTTAATAAGCTTTCTAAAAAAACTAGAGTTTGGAGGGCTAATCCTTATCTGTTTTATTGTAGACCTATAAAAATTTAAATTATTCTATTTAGCGTAAGTTTGCGTTACTTCCTCTTCTAAAAAAAATTGATAATTTTTTTAAGTTAACATCATATAAAAAATATTACATTTTTTCTAAAATTACAAAATAAAGTATTGTTTCCAAGACGAGACACAAATAAATAGTAAATAGGAGAAAAATTGATCGAAGAAAAAAAGAACAAAAAAATGATAAATAAAAACAGATAAAATTAAATCGTGAACAAAGAAAAAATGCTACAAGAGAAAGAAATAAAAAAACTACGAAAATGGTAAAAACCAAAATTAATAAGTCTCCCCTCACAGTTTTTCTGAAAAAAAAAACAAAGAAAATTTATTTTTTCCTCTACTTTTTGCATCCAGTGTATTAAAAAAGCGTGAACTTTCGCCCAAGCGGTAAATGCAGCATCGATGGTAAAAAACTGGCCCAATAAATCGCGTTTTTGCCGCTCGTGTCGTTCCCTGTTCCGCATTAAAAATTATATAACCATGACGTCACGTTCGAATTTTTGCCGAATTATTCTTCCCCACCCATGAATGGTACCATCAGGTGTCTGAGGTCGTTCGAGTGGGCACCGCACCAGCATCAAGATAATTATGATAAATAAACATTAGAAAAAAATTCGTATGTGAATATTCATGAAAGTCAAAATGGCCGTTTTGCGTTTTGGCCAATAAAAATCCGTGATTTTTTTCAAATTCGTTTCTTCGGTTTCTTCCAAGAATTACACGCTTCACGCTAGAGCGTGTCCGTGCTTTTATTTCGGCGTTTAATTTCATAGTTCAGTAATTTTTACATACTTTGACATATTTAGGAAATTGCATATTTTGTGTATAACGTGAAAGTGCACCGAAAAAGAAACCAATTTCTATGGTCAGGCGCGACTGCTGGAAAAAATACGACTCGCTCGAACGGAAAATTGACAAAGATTTAGAAAAGATTGGTCAATAATGAATTAAATGGACAATACGGATCAGTGGCGTATCGCAAACTCGCCCAAAACAAGCCGATTAAGAGGGAGTTTTCCAACGGGACGCCTATGGTGTGCCACACCAGACTTTCGTTTAATTCGTTTTGCGGTACGATTACGAAAATTTATTAATTCATTGCTGTCAGTCAGTGTCGCACATTAACCGGAAATGGCTGAAATTTAGCGAAAAAAAAAGTGTTTACGGTTGTAATGGCCACACTGGAATTAAATCGAGATGGAAAAAAATAACATTGTTAAAAACGGAGTGGGAAAGGACGCAGTTGCGACAGACGAATATGTGAAAAAATGGATGAAATTTCGTGAAAAAGTAGGAGAGGATCGACAAAACTTGACACTGGAAGAAAAAAATTGAAGATCATAAAAAAAGACAAGTTGAGAAAGCAAAAGTCACAAGACAAACCTAGAAAAAGGGCAAAAAAACAAAAAAAAAGCAAACCTACTTGATATGAAAAAGAAAAAAGGACAAAAAGTGGATAAAAACAATTGAAAAAAATAAAGAAAACAACATTTTTAAACCGAAATAAATTTTTTCAAAAAAAGTCTCACTGGTCCACCATTTCCGGACTTACCCTAATAGGTATAGAAAAGAAAATGGATGGAAATAAGTAAAAAAAATAAAGAAATAGTAGATTACATGCGAAATGGAAAATGTATCATTACCCCGAGGACTTAGATATCCTATCAAAAGTCGCAATCTCGAGATTGAATAGAGCTCAAGGGGTAATGACATTTCCACCGAAGTTTGTGTACTATTTTATTTGCATTTCTTTAAATAATAAAATATCCATTTCTCTCTCAAAGTTGATGCAATGACAATTGCTATGCAATTAAACTGAGTTTTTGATAATTCTTTATAAAACATTTCCAGACCACGAGATGTAATGATAAAAATTTCCCGACCTATAAAATGTTAGGAATCAGCATATTATTGTAGTGATTGGAAATAAACACTATTTGTAAATTGAAATAAAACTAGGTTTTCAATAAAAACCCTAGCAGGGTCCTACATTCCAAAGCACCGTTTATCCCTCTGGGTCACCTCTCCTGGATATACCCTAGTGGGCGAAAAAAGAAAAGAATAAAAAATAAATAAAAATAAGTGAAAAATATAAGACAACAATATTTTCAAATCGAAATAAAACAAAGTTTTCAAAAAAGCCTTAAATGGCTTCTAAGTTCTAAAATTCATCTATGCCGCCAATCCATCTCTCCCGGATTTACCTTAGTAGGTAAGGAAAAAAAGAGAGCAAAAGGATGTAAATAAAGAAAACAATGTTTATAAACTGAAATAAAACAAAGTTTAAAAAAAAAACTGAAAGAGTTCTAAGTTACAAAGTTCATCTACCCCGCTGGTCCATCTATTCCGGATTTACCCACATGAGTAAGGAAAATGAAAAGAGGACAAAAAACAAGTAAAAAGAAATCAAAAATAAAGAAAACAACATTTTTAAACCAAAATATTTTTTTCAAAAAAACCCTAGAAGGGTTCTAAGTTCCAAAGCACCACCTGGTCCATCTCTCCTGAATTTACCCTAGTAGATGAGGAAAAAAAGAGGAAAAATATTTTTAAATCGAAATAAAACAAAGACACAAACCTTAAAAAAAACAAAAAACCTTAGAGGGCTTGATCTATCCCGCTAACCCATCTGTCCTAGATGATTTACATTAATAGATAAGGAAAAAAAGAGGGCAAAAGGATGTAAATAAGTAAAAAATACAGAAAACAATATTTTCAACTGAAATAAAACAAAGTTTCAAAAAAAACCTTTAAAGAGTTCTGGTCAATCTCTCCCGGATTTACCCCAGAAGATAAGAAAAAAAACAAAAAAAAAGATGTAAATAAGTAAAACAATAAATAAAAAAACAATATTTTTATTTAAAAAAACCTACAAGAGTTCTAAATTCAAAAGCCTCACCTATCCCGCAGGTCCATCTCCCCCGGGTTCACCCTAGTAAGTAAGGAAAAAAAAAGAGGACAAAAACACAGGTGAAATAAATCAAAAATAAAGAAAACAATATTTTTAAACTGAAATAAAACAAAGTTAAACCCTACAAAGTGAGTAAGGAAAATGAAAAGAGAACAAAAAAATAGCAACATTTTTAAACCGAAATTAACTTTTCAAAAAAACCCTAGAAGGGTTCTAAGTTCCAAGCACCACCCTGGTGGGTGGGAAAAAAAAGATAAAAACAAGTAAAAAAATGAAGATAACAATATTCAAAAAGAAATAAAACAAAGTTTTTAAGAAAGCCTTAGAGGGGTTCCAAGTTCTAAAGTTGATCTATCCTGCTAATCCATCTCTCCCGGATGATTTACATTAATAGATAATGAAAAAAAGAGGGCAAAAGGATGTAAATAAGTAAAAAATAAAGAAAACTATTTTTAAACTAAAATAAAACAAAAAAACCCTAACAGAGTTATGGCCAATCTCTCCCGGATTTACCCTGGAAGATAAGGAAAAAAAGAGCAAAAAGATGTAAATAAGTAAAAAATAACAATATTTTTAAACTAAAATAGAACACAGTTTCCCAAAAAAAACCTACAAGAGTTCTAAGTTCCAAAGCTCCATCTATCCCGATGGTCCACCTCTCCCGGATTTGCCCTAGTGAGTCACGAAACGAACAGAGAACAAAAAATAGGTGGAAATAAATAAAAAATAAAGAAAACAACATTTGTAAACCGAAACAAATTTTTCAAACAAAAAGTCCTAGAAGGGCTAAGTTCCAAAGTTCATCCTATCCCTGACTTAATCTAGTAGGTATAGTAAAAAAAGGTGAAATCGATGAAAATAGGTAAAAAAAACAAATAAAACAAGATTTTCAAAAATTTACAAAACTGGCCAACACGAGTAGCAACCTTGAAAAGACAAAATACCTAATCTGTTAAAAGTGTACGAAAAAATCACATTTAGAGCCGTAGGCGTGTTATTTTTCCTGTTAGACGAGTGTCCCACATCTAAGAGCCATCAAAAATGGCAACTTGCAGGCCGAAGAGAGATAATTAATTAATTATGCCAACGACCCGAAGTGAATTTGTTGAATAAATTAATAATTTATTAGAACGTTCACGTCAAAGCAGGCTGCCGAATTTCGCCCGGTATTTCATGCTAGGTTATTAATTAGAATTCGGACATCGAGAGCCGGTTAGAAAGGGACCTCGAGAGCAAAATCGAATTTTTAAGAAAATCTGAAGCCCAATTAAAATTCACACTGATAAGAAAATTCCGTGTTCCGGGTATCGATGAGCACGATACGGTTTGATTTATCGACGATTTGGATTTTTTATTTTTCAAAAATGTTAAACAGTTGCCAGGTGTGAACGGTTTAATTGCACTTCATCTAGGAGAAAATTACATACAAGGTGCTAATTCCTACTGTCACACACCCAATACCAGAATACCAAACGTCAAGGATTATAAACAGTGAGTCTTTGTTTGACTGTGTATTAAACGAAAAAATAGTGCAAAGAAATCTTAATGCAGTTAATGGCCAGGTGCCAATCAAACTGTTATGGACAACCAGTATGTCATTTTTTATAATATTCGTTTATAATTTTATTCAATTACAGCAGCTTAATGGGACTACAGCTGCTTGAAATTTTCGTCTAATGCTACTGGAGCACTTTCATTATTAATTTAAAATTGAAAAAATATAAAATAATAGTGAGAATTATACAGGTGACTCCGAAAAAAGGTACCAAAAACGGAGGACGCAAATTTATAAACTATAAATATTACACATACTGTGCAAAAAATAAATGTTTTTTCACAAATGCATAATAAATGCCTTCTAACTCACATGACATAATTATCTAAAAAAATTATATAAGATGTTGCTGGATTTGTAAAACTACAATGACAAGCAGATTATACAGCTATTTACAGAAATAAGTGTCAGAATGTTTTTTTTAATCTTAAAGAATTCATAATAGAATAAAAAATAAATAACTATTAATACAAGGTCAAAAATATGGGTTTGACATTAATAAAAATAAAATAAAAAATATGCAATATTTTTATAATTTTATATCGCAAGAGTAAGATTTTTGCTGTAATGTAGTGACATTTGAAAAACTTAGTTACATTTTTTATTAAAATTATTTTTTTTGGTTTTTTAAATTGAAACAAAATAAACTATATGATAACTAAAATATTTTAACATTTTTAACAGTTGAATTTAACTGGAGATAAAAACTAAATTCGTAAGACGATTCAGTATACAACATGTCTCAGAAGTAAATACATACTTTCTTTGTAATTTTATAATAGAATTATTATTACGATAAAAATATTTTTATTCGCAAACGTCACAAAAGTGAACATCTTTACTACAAAATGTGACAAGTAAAAGTTTTACCATTTAGGCATGGAGTAAAAATTCTGTTTTTGCGCGTTTTTACTTTTATTATGACATTCTTTCGCTGCTTCAGCAATTTCTGGAGAGGTTTTTTGTAGATCATCAGTATTCGACAATTTGCACTACTAACTGCACTAATTAAATTCATAACCACTTTCGTATGTCTCAATACAAATTCCGATACTAAAACGTGTTGTTTGTCCTGATTATTTTGTTAATTTACTTGCTAATCACTTATTTTTGATCTAAATACGTTTGCGTATAAAATAGTATATGTTATTCGGAGTAAAAGTGAGTATATGTAGCTCAGCTGAATTACGTTCAGTTCGCCACGTAAACTATCACTTTTTATTATTAATAAGGAAAAAAGTAGTTTTTTTAGCCATTATTTGATATTAGATGAATTTTTTTGTAAAAGTTAGACAGTTTTATTTTCTCATTTTTTAAACAAAACTTAATTTTTAAAGTTAAATACAAAAATTAAATTTTATACATGTACTTTATAACCCCGCTAAAAAAAATTATACAGAATGTCACAAAAATAAGTGTTTCAAAAATAACTGTCATTTTTTAAAATTATTTTCACAATTTATAACAAAAGTGGTTTTCTTTTTATTTTGAAAATTTTTGAAGAAGACTTACATTTTTGGCAGCAGTAGATATTCAAATATGTAGGTAATATGTACTTCAAATCCAAAAAACTGTATAGTTAGTAAGTGAGAAAAACAGTTTTTTTGACGTTTTTTCACAATTTTGAGTTATAAACAAGCAAAATAAAATGTTTTGATCTTCTTTCGTAAAAAAATAAAACTTTGATATAAAAAAATTATATACCATGAACCGAAAATAAGTGGCAACTTTTTTAACAGAAAAATAAACGTTCACTTCGCCACGTAAACTATCACTTTTACTCTTAATAACATAATGTACTATTGTTAATAAGGGAAAAAGTAGATTTTGAGCCATTATTTGATATTAGATGAATTTTTTTGTAAAAGTAAGACAGTTTTCTGTCTTCAAATAAAATTAATTTTTAATTTTTTAAACAAAACCTAATTTTAAAAGTTAAATAAAAAAATTAAACTTTATACATGTACTTTATAACACCGC